CCTTTCCTCTGCCTCCTTGCATTTTGTTGTTACAAAGTCCATCATTTCGTTTACTGATTTTCCTACCAACTCCTGTTCCCACTGAACCTCCTGCAGGAAGGTCCTCATTCCTGTGTAGTCCCCCCTTTTATAGTTTAGCTTTTCCCTTTCTACTCCTGTTACCCTCTCCAGTTTTAGCTCCACGATGTATTCAAAGCTCATAACTACGTGGTCACTAGCTCCAAGGGGCCTTTCATATGTTATGTGCTCATTCCTGAGCTATTCAGGGTGAAGACAAGGTCTAGTCTTGCTGGTTCATCCTCCTCTCTCTCTCTCTCTCTGGTAGTATCCCTAACCTGTTGGTGCATGAGATTTGCCAGTACCACATCCATCATCTTGGCTCTCCATGTTTCAGGACCCTCATGTGGCTCCAGGTTTTCCCAATCAATCTCCCTATGATTGAAGTCGCACATGATCAGTAACTTCGCCCTACTCGAGTGAGCCCACCATTGCTCTGTTGCACTCATCATATTCCTCTCTTGGCCTCCTGCAGTTCTGTGGTGGGTTATACATCATTGCAATGACTACCTTGTGTTCCCCTGACTGAACTGTACCTACTATGTAATCCCTTTCTCCAATCTCGTCCATACCTTCCATTTCTTGATAACCCCACCAGTTTTTATTAGTAGTGCAACCCCTCCTTTCCCCCTGCTCTTTCTATCCTTCCTCAGGATCTGATATCCGGGTGGGAAGATTGCATCTGTTATTATCCCGGTGAGTTTTGTTTCTGTAACCGCTATGATGTCTGGGGACATCTCCTTGATTCTTTCATGCCACTCCTCACATTTATTTGTTATTCCATCTGCATTCGTGTACCAAACCTTCAACTTCTTTTCAATAACTGTGGTCTGGGGAGAGAGGTGGGTTAGGGGGAGCAGGTGCCCTGGCAGGGGCCTATAGGGAGTTGGTGTGGGGGTGGGGTCTGTGGTGTGGGGTGTGGGGGCAGAGGGCCTATGGGGGGTTTCAGTGGGGGTGAGGGAATGGGGGGAGAGGGCCTATGGGGGGTTACAGTGGGGGAGGGGGTTGTGGTGGAGGGGGATGGGTATAGAGGGTACAGTGTGTGGGTTGCTGTGGGTTACTGTGAGGGTGGGGTTTGTGGTGAGGGGGATAGGGGGAGAGGGGTAGTGTGTGGGTTACTGTGGGTTTCTGTAGGGGTGAAGTTTGAGCTGAGGGGGATGTGCAGGTTACTGAGGGTTACTGTGGGGGTGGGAGAGAGTGGGAGAGAGAGAGAGAGTGTGTGTGAGAGAGAGGGAATATGAGAGTGTGTGAGAGCGTGTGAGAGTATGTGAGAGTGTGAGTGTGTGTGTAAGAGTGTGTGTGTAAGAGTGTGTGTGTAAGAGTGTGTGTGTAAGAGTGTGTGTGTAAGAGTGTGTGTGTAAGAGTGTGTGTGTAAGAGTGTGTGTGTAAGAGTGTGTGTGTAAGAGTGTGTGTGTAAGAGTGTGTGTGTAAGAGTGTGTGTGTAAGAGTGTGTGTGTAAGAGTGTGTGTGTAAGAGTGTGTGTGTAAGAGTGTGTGTGTAAGGTGTGTGTGTAAGAGTGTGTGTGTAAGAGTGTGTGTGTAGAGTGTGTGTGTAAGAGTGTGTGTGTAAGAGTGTGTGTGTATGAGTGTGTGTGTAAGAGTGTGTGTGTAAGAGTGTGTGTGAAAGAGTGTGTGTGTAAGAGTGTGTGTGTAGAGTGTGTGTGTATGAGTGTGTGTGTAAGTAGTGTGTGTGTGGAGAGTGTGTGTGTGAGAGTGTGTGTGTGAGAGTGTGTGTGTGAGAGTGTGTGGGGTGAGAGTTGTGTGTGAGAGTGTGTGTTGTGAGAGTGTGTGTGTGAGAGTGTGTGTGTGAGAGTGTGTGTGTGAGAGTGTGTGTGTGAGAGTGTGTGTGTGGAGTGGTGTGTGAGTGTGTGTGTGAGAGTGTGTGTGTGAGGTGTGTTTTTGTGAGAGTGTGTGTGTGAGAGTGTGTGTGTGGAGTGTGTGTGTGAGAGTGTGTGTGTGAGAGTGTGTGTTTTTGAGAGTGTGTGTGTGGAGTGTGTGTGTGAGAGTGTGTGTGTGAGAGTGTGTGTGTGAGAGTGTGTGTGTGAGAGGTGTGTGTGAGAGTGTGTGGTGTGTGTGTGAGAGTGTGTGTTGTGAGAGTGTGTGTGTGGAGTGTGTGTGTGGAGTGTGTGTGTGAGAGTGGTTGTGAGAGTGTGTGTGTGGAGTGTGTGTGTGAGAGTGTGTGTGTGAGAGTGTGTGTGTGAAGAGTGTGGGGTGTGAGAGTGTGTGTGTGAGAGTGTGTGTGTGGAGTGTGTGTTTTGTGAGGTGTTGTGTGTGTGTGGTGTGTGAGAGAGTGTGTAGGTGTGTGAGAGGTTTTGTGTGTGTGGGAGTGTGTTTTGAGAGTGTTTTGGGGAGAGTGTGTGTTGAGAGTGTGTGTGTGAGAGTTGTTGTGTGAGAGTGTGTGTGTGTGAGAGTGTGTGTGTGTGAGAGTGTGTGTGTGTGAGAGT